TTGATCGGATGTTTAATTTTGGTTGTTCAGCATTTCAACCTAAAATCAACATTGATTGAACGTTTAAAAATGAATAAACATTCAACGTACCAATATGCACGTTATTTCAACGTTGAAATAAGGTTGTTTTACATCCGTTCCAGTTTTGATCAGAGTTCGACGTTGATTGGACGCTTAACTTGGGTTGTTAAGAATTTAAACCTGAAATCAACATTGGTTCAACGTTTAAAAATTAGTAAAAATTCAAAGTAACGATATCGACGTTATTTCAACGTTGAAATAAGGTTGTTTTACGTCCCTTATAGTGTTGTTCAGATTTCGACGTTGATATGACGTTTAATTTTGGTTGATCAGCATTTCAACCCCGAAATCAACCAATAATCAACGTTGTTTCAAAGTCAGATGCCTGCTGGGATAGTTTTTGTTGAGATATTGTTAAAGTTGTGTATAGACGTTCCAACTCCGCCTAGTAGCCGGTCTAATCTTGTGACCGGCAAGCGCTGTAAGAGTGTAAGTGCATGAGTTGGGGTTACATTGGTTTCCTGCTTGCATAGAACTTCTGGTGTATGCTTGTCTAGGGCTTTTTGGATGAATGGGTTGGGCTAATCTAAAGCTACGGACATTCCATTGCGAGAGCTTGAGTGTCATTGTGAATGTGAAAGGAGGTGAGACCTAGTTTTGTGAGCAGCGAGGATATGTTTGGTTCTATTTGTAGTTTTGATCCTAATTCTATGAAGCATTCTAGTTTGGCACTTAGCGAGGTTGCCAGTAGAAATTTGAGTAGTAATGGTAACAACAAAGCTGGAGGGTTATGTGTTGCAGATGATGTTGGTGAGAGGGCAATGTGTGATTTGGCGATTTTGGGCGTGTTGATTTTGTGGGCTTGTTTTAATATGTGACACAGGAGGTATGGTGGGTAGGGAGAATTCTCGTCCATCCATGTCTTCCTGTTCCATCCGCAATTTAGGAGCATAACTTGAGCTAAAGCTCTTGTGGAGGCGCTTGCCCGGCTGGGATCCAAGATTTTGTTTTCAGGGTTTGACCTGTGGCATCATGTTGAGCAGCATCTACTTGGTTATGCCTTTGCTCAGAGTTACTACCTATCACAATACATTGAATCCTCTTCCACTGATGGATTAGCGGGGGAAGGGAGCTTATCGAATCAAGTGATGGAGGACGTGCCTGTGCTTTTAGGAGAGGTTGGTCTCTTCTGTAGTTAGTTTTACCACTGGTTTGCTGAGCTAGGTCAGAGAGTTTCTTTCTGGCTTCTGGATAGGAGACTTGGTGATTTAACCGAGTAGTGACATATATCCACTTCATGTAGGTAACATGGGCAGTTTTTGTCTAGGTCATCGTTATTTCCTTGGCAATTCACACACTGCGGACTTTTTTGCACGTTAGGCCTCCATGCCCATTTGTTTCGCAAAAACTGCAGCGTTGTGGGCTCCGGCAGACGATTAAAGTATGCCCCATCTGCAGCACTTGTAGCAGCGAATGGGGTTTGGCTAATACGGGTCAACTTTATAGCTGCTATAGCCTATCCTATTCGTATGTATTAAAGTCTCTCTTTGTTCAAGAATGTTATTACAAATAGAGGCAGATGTGATTTAGCAACGTCACGATAAAGCTTCCTGCCAGCTATAACTCCTGTGGGTTTGAGGAGTTCCAGGAGTTTTTCACTCGTTTCTTCGTGAAGGTCTGGTGCGCAGATTTGGCCAAGGGTGGATTCAGCATTTAGGAGGCGCGTCTGGGTCCCAGGAAAACTTTTTTATTTATAAATTGATAACTTTGAAACTTGGTACGCATGTGTGAAACAGAAATCTGACACTTTTTTATTTCTTAAATTTTTCGAAAAACTTGAAAGAAAACGTGAAATTCTTTGAAAACGGCCATAGAGGAGGTACTGCAGAAATCTATCTCCTCGTAGGATTTTCAAGCTACAACATCGAGACACATATCATTCGCTGCGTAAAGACAATATCGATTGGTCGTATTTTTTTCGAAATTCTCAGTTTTTTTGGGGGGGGGGGGCATTTTTCGTAAATTTTTCGATTTCCCGAGGAGGAAATCCTTCGGGAAAGCCGAGGGATTTCCCTAGCCGATCGAAGATCTCGGCTAGTTGTGGTAGTTGTAACTTCTGGTGGTGGACATGTTTTTTGTGAGGATGTCTGTCTTTTAGCTCCATGTTGTAGGATACGTTTGATTTTGATGAGCAGGCACTAGCTGACAATACTCCCTCTGGATGCGAGTCAATGAACGAGACCTATGCTGAAGGCAGTTTGGTCATAGCAGTTAGATTTTCCAGTGTGGTTAGATGGCCTTTCTTGGCGATGCTTGCTCTTTGCTAGTTCTGCTTTCTTGTGCATTAGCTGATTTCAAGAGATTATTATTGGGCAGATGAGGGGGCCGGTTTTGCATCAGCAGCTTTCTCCATGCACATTTTTGCCGGTTGACTGTCTGGGGGTTTCGAACCCAGTTTGGGATTTTTATTCGGTTTATGCGTGAGGAATTCTAGACTTTCTATTCCATAATGATTTTAAAAGTGGTTTGGTTTATCAATAACACACAATAAGGGTACGGCCAGACTAAAAGCGTTCACGCGCACGCTGACTGACGCTTCAAGCAGAGCGGCGCCGCGCCGCGCGTATGGTGTCCAAACTAGACGCTGGAGCGCGCAGCTTACTGCGAGTCAATGTGTAGAAATGAGTGTCTACGAGAGACTAACAGCCGTTCTCCTTGATGAAAATTTTATAAGGAAATGAAAGATAAATTTAAAAATCCCATCGATACTCTGTTGTGTCATCTTTGAAATCCATTCAGATGAGATTAGATAGATATTTTGATAGGTATATATGATGCATACGTCGCGAGTCCAACGTTAATACAGATAGACTTGATGCTCATGTGCAATTTCTTAGTATAAGAGGCAATTCAAATAAACTAGTTTTTGATTTTCCTTCTTTATTTTGTCTTCATTTATAGAATATATGTATGTCCTGTCGTGGTGCTGTGGGTGAGAGCAATTGCACTCGCCGCCTGAATTAACGAGAGCAATGTCTTCGACATCCTCCCCTCACGGCTGCTTCAAGGATACTGCCGCCCCGAAATATTTGTCTCGCGTTTAAATGTTTAATGTCGATTTTTCGCTGCGCGGCGCCTCGTCTGTACGCTTGAGGCAGCTTCCGCCTCTAAGTGCTAGTGTGGCCACTCTGGTGGAAATACATGCACATAATATCGCAGCGTACGTCTGCGTACGCGCCAACGCTTTTAATCGGGCCGTACCCTAAGGTCGGTAGAATGGTTTAAGGAAAAGTCTCGTCACTTTAATCACCGGCACTCGTCACACACGACCACTCGTGAACGGGAACTCAGCCGTACACCACCGAAATTGTGCACCAATCAGCCCTGAATAGAACGCCTAGCATATTTCCAGATGACCACCAATCAGCCGCGGATTAAGCCATTCGTCAGTAACCAACCCATGACATCATCTTGCTTTAAATATTAGGAGCTTTACGCCACCATATCTGACGCGAATAGCCCAGAGTGTAATGATCGTCCATCACTGAACTTTGTATCGAATCATTACTTCATACCCTGCCTTTAGCTCGAACTGCAACTAGCGGACAACGGACTGTGACCAATCAGCCCAGCTCACCAGTAGAACTGCATGAATCCAGCCGTGTACCACCAGACGGTCAATTCTAGCTCATAGCATATGGGGTTAGGTTTCAGATGGCATTGTTCTGTTCCGAAATCTATCGTCCATCGGCGAGTGACTTCCGCAGCTTCGTTATATTACGTAAATTTTAGCTCACAGCATCTGGGGTTAGGTTTCAGATAGCATAGTTCTGTTCCTAAATTTATCGTCAGGCGTCCCCTCGTGGACTGCCTCCGCCCCGTCGGCAAGGCAAACGTGTGGGTTCATTTTCGTGTCTATCCCTCTAGCTGCATCACGTTATACCGGAATGATAAAGTAACTATGAGGAACAAGAACCATAAAGCATTGACCAGGTTTTGTCTTCGATGTCGTTTGAATTAATTACTAAACTTTTTTATTTGCTCAAAAGGTAGTGAGCTGCCTGGGCATAGTTGAACATTATGACACTCCCGTCGCGATGATTAACGCCTATTACGGACAACCGCAATGAATAAAACGATCATAATTAACTAAAGTAATTATGTGAACGGTACCACAGTATAATACAATTGTGCGTTTCACAATCTTGCGAACCTCACCTGAAAAGACTGAAATTTTGTAGATCTTGTTTGTATACCCGAAGATACATTGTTCAGTGCCTATCAGGCAATGCGCTGTCATCACACTATCAAGCTGTTTCATTCCTAAATCATAGTGACCTGAACATTCAATAGAAAATTTGTAGGCCCTGAATGCAAAACCGAACGTTCATCTGTTGCTTTTTCTGCCTATCAAAAGCTTACATATTAGTTATGTATTTTATGATGAGGATTTGAAAATTATCTCGTGGAGCTACACGCATTAATTTTTACCGCCACGTACTTATTAAGTATTTTGTCCTCTTGCACCTCAATCATATTTCCATGCCTTCAAGTAACCTGTGGTCTTTAAATATAGCAAAATAAATTAAATATTTTTGTCCTATAATTAATGAAGTTACTATCTAACTACGACGTAAGCTAAAAAAATTTGTAAAGTCAATTGTCATTCAGTTCCATCGTATGACTTAACAAACGCACGCGTGTACACACATCAATGCCATTCCATGAGCGGGAGATGGTCATAATTCTCTCAAATACCAGCGTCTGATATGAGACAGTCTGAGCAGTTGCTTTCTTTGGTTTTAGCACGCAGATTCGGCTCTTTGTGCAATCGACTTCCACAATAAGCTCCTAATTTCCAGCCAAATAGGGAAGGTGACGATTAGCACCTGATTCACCTCTAAGCCGATTCGATGGAACCCGAGAATGGAATCCGAATTTAAACTGAGCTTGTGCGCCCCTTCGCTGCATGAGCTCACCTGTTGCGCGCGGCCATTCAAAATGACGTAGTGGATTTTCTCCTCTTCGATATCCTGAAAGAGAACTTAAATTTATCTAACAAAATCGCTTTGATTTCCGAAGAATAATGACAATTCAATTTTCACAATTGTTAATCATAATAAATTATCGAAAGTGAGTAGGAAGTTTTGCTAACCAATTTGCGACCAATTTGATAACGACAAAGGCTTGTAGTATTTTATTAGAGTAATATTGAGAATGTGATTCTTGCACATTTTAAAAATGTTATTAACCTTGATGGAAACAATTAACATTTTATTTTTTGAAATAGTCTTTGAATAATTTATACATGGCTTAAGCAGAAAATAGTGGTTTATTGTGCAAATGTTATTTTACCCAAGACGCAAATGGTATTTTACCCAAGTGCAAATGGTATTTTACCCAAGTCAAATTTGGGAAGAAAAGAGCCAAAAGAGAAAATATTTCAAGGAAAAAAAATCCTTTTCTGCAAGGGAAAATTACTTGACACGGCCTCTTATAACCTTTTAACAGTTACCGTTTATACGTCCAATGTGGATAGACCCGAGACAAGGAAAACTCAATATTGTTCTTTCATCTGGTTATAGACTAAAAATCCGAGAACGGAATCAAATTAAGACGTTTTTTCGTTAAAAAATCTTTCCTTTCCTAAAACTTGGAAAAGTGCATTTTGGAACGTGCCAGCAAAAAAACTTAGGTTGTGTCTTCGTTAGGAATGTCAATATCTATATGAACTGAAGATTATGAGTTTCATGTCATTATTGCCGACAGGAGAAAGTCTCAGGGCCAAGATTACGTTTCAGTAATTCGCTATAATAATTTCTCTAATCACTTACTTTCTCTAGATGAGTTCTAAGTTCATTGACAACAGGAAACAATTCTCTGTTGATGGTGTATCTGTTTCTTCCGTCGTAAAGATCGCAAGCTTGTGACTTTGCTGTCAGGTGTTGATTTTCCAGGAATATGGAGTCCACGTAATCGCTGTTGGGATGGATTACCGAGTCCATTTTTTCCTTGTAAGAAGCCAGAGCTTGGCTTTGAGCCACTTTGCTGCATGAGTGCGCGTCTGAGTTACGCGCATTACTTTCGCTGTAGCTTGAGTACTTTTTGTCGATGATCTGAAACATTATCACGAATATGAAATCAAAATATTAGAGAATTCCGAGACAAAAAATGATGTGAAGCAGCAGTTAACTAATCAAATGTATCGAAAAAGTTATTAACACAAGTTAATCCTTCGATTAAGGAATGAAAAAACTTTGGCGTGCCATACAGAGTTGTGTTTGTGGTCAGACAATCAAATAATTTTTATTTCAGACATTGAATTCTGTGCTATATCGGTTACACATTTTCATATTGATTTAACAGGCCGTAACAATCGCGGAAACGCAAAAACGTAAATGTAATAAAAAAAAAAAATCCGCGCACACATCCACTTAACAGAAAGTTTAATTATTTTTTTTTTCAACTGCAATTGTATTTCAAAAGCGGTAAATTTGAAACTAGGAACAAATCAAATAAATTGTTCATGAAGTGCTGGAATAACAGGCTGAAGATAATTTTGTATATTAACTATCAGGTAAATGACTCAATACTAAATATATTATCGCTAAGTCACACCTAATTACCCTCTCAAGTTGCACTTTAATTTCCTTCACAACCGGAATTAGGTTGATGCTCTCGCTGTTTTGGTGTTCCCGCTGGTAGGCTGCAATGGCTTCGTCTTTTGATGTTAAGTGTTTCTCATTCAGGGAGGAAACTTCGAGTGGTTCTTGATCGAAGCTCGTCACTTTATCCATAGCTTCCTCATACATTTGCAGGGCCTTGTTGTAGGCCGCGTTGCTTAAAGTGCGCGCTCTCTGTTTACGTTCATCCATCTCGACATAGGGCTTGATGCTGCGATCAATTTCCTGGAATGAAACTTGTTTTTAGTGTGAAGTCAAACATTATAATCAGCTCACTGCAAAGATTTGAATTCCATTTGCTCTTCTTGTCGTGTGGTCAGTATCTGTACAAATTTTCACAAGACTACTTTCTAGATGTTCTCAAACTGTTCCGTGACGGAATGGATATCGCGCTCCGGCTACAAGAAGCCGGTTTACTCGACCGACCACGAAAGAGTAAACAGGCTTTAGAGAATTCGACCACTACTGGACCTTTTTCAACCTTCCTACAAGCGGCACATACAATTAACCAAAGTCCAGCATCATGGACGACACAAAATTGGAGAAGAACGTGGAAATTGCAGTTTCTCTGCTGACCTTCTGCCAAAAACTTCACGTGCTTTACTAATTTAATTATACACATACTATCATATTAAATTTGATTTTAGAGTTCTAGCTTACACGACCGGTGTTACTGACCTGCGGATTTTAGAATCCCTGTATATTTTTAAACAGAAACCTGGTTTAAATGCAGCCTTCAGTTCCTATCCCCTTGAAATTGTAAATAGATAGGCCTGTCACCTAATGTGTATTTGTTTTGTTTTTATTTTGTCAATTTACGTTTTTATCTTCGATGTGAATTTAGTTTTCTAATTGATTCTGCTTTTCTTATAGGTTTTGAACTTTTGAACTGACGATGGAGCTGGTCTCCGAAACGTTTTCATTCTTAAGAAATGGTTAATATTCTGTCTGTTTTCTTTGCTTTTAAATTCCTGACATATTACCATTCACGAGACTGTCAGAAAATTCTAAGTAAAATCGTTTTTTATGATGCTCGAGTGAGTGAATACAAAGAAATATTACTAATAGTGTTCCTAATTGAGCCTCAAATAATTGCTCATAAGTTTACGTTCAGTTTCATCTCTTGTTCTGGCGATTGTAAGACAACGACGCTTAGAATGATACTATACGCTTGTTGAAAGGAGATTTCTGTTGTCTAGAACTTCGTTCACTCCACCTTTAGATCTAGATTTGGAAGCTAATTTTCAAAATTACACTCCGCATTATCACGTTCCACTTTTAGAGGTTTCAAGAAATCCATTAATTATTCATTTAGTAAATAAAAAAGAATGATTACGAGTTGTTTTTCACGCAAATCCAAGTTTACGCGAAATATGTTCCTCTGTATCCCATGAGGCATTCGAAAATGCAATGCAAAAAATTTCACCTCTGACGCTCCAACTATTTGCGAGGCCCGAATATTCTTGCAGACCAAAATGATCTTGCTCTTTCCTTTCGCGTTAGGCTTCACAAGAAGAAAATCAAATAATTGTGTTCGATTTATAAAACAGAAGATGATTGGATATAGATTATACTGAACATCAACAATAAAATCATTCATTGCAGATCGCGCACATGATATAGGTTGAAATTATAACAATTCATTCAATATGAAATGTACACTCAACATGTTTATTTTGCACGTTTATTGATGCAAGACTTATATCTATTACATAAATACTCACTCGTTGAACGAATGTTATATTCATATGAAGTAACGTTAAGGATAGTGTCAACACCATATCATATTCTAATCAAACCCGAGAAGATGGTAAAAATATCGGCGGAATATTCAGATTGTTATTTTGGAGATTCGGGCTAAATTTGACAAAGTAAAATTTTTCTCTACCATATATACTCACCCCCTCAAGCTGAGCTCTAATTTCATTCCGAAGAGATAACAGTTCTGTCTTGACGATGTGTTGGGTTAGCTCATCGTAGACTGCCATGGCTTGGTCCTTTGAATCTGAGTGAAGTTTCAGAACACTGGAGGCGCCAAGAACTTCCCCAGTGGGGCAGGTTACTGGGGACATGGCCTTCTCGTAGGCCTTCTTAGCTTTTTTGCTGGCGGCAGCGCAGCTTGAGCGCGCCTTCTGCTCTTCCTCATTGGTCCTGATGGTGACCACGATCATCTCTTCCATTTTCTGAATATAACAAGCTACAAATAACTTGATTGCTTGAATTGCAAATTAACAAGGAATTTAAAGGGAGCATATAGGTCGGAAATAAAAAAAATACGGCTTCTCAGGTTCCTTCGTTAATTTGTAGCTGCTGAAAAGGCACGTCAGCAGCATATTGTTAAAAAATGAACATTTTTAACAGTATGTACAAAGATTCCTCTCATTTAAATCTGTATTTACTTATAGATCATGTTTCACGTTAATTGCAAAGTATTTGCACTCGTTTGAAAGCTACTAACGATGCGCGTTCATAAAAGCAAATACCGAGGATGTACATTCAATATGTTTTTTGCGTTTGGCCGTTATGATCTTAAGACACAATGAACACTTTTTATAGATATATATATATATATTTCATTGAAGACCAGAGAATTTGTTTTATTCGCAATTTTCTTATTAGTTTTTTCAATATATCGAACAATATTTTTAGTTTGAACTGGCAAATCGAAAATCAGGTTACCGATGGACATTTTTATTTCGTTAACGACGTTTCGAATGTTTCTATCATTCATTATCAAGTTAAAAGGCGCATTGAGTGATGAAATTAGCGTCGACATAAGTACAA